TTTCTTTGGACTCTTCCCTTTGAGGCTCTCTGTGATCTAAGCCAGCCTTCTTTGTTCACCATTTAGATAAAATAGGGTTTGTGGATAATTTTTAACTCCCCATTATTATGCCCTTATTCTCCCTAGAAAAACTACACCTTTCCCCTCAAGGTAAACCTAAGTAATTTACCAATAGATGCAGAGGAAATGTTTATCTTGAAATGCAACTTCCCCAGGGTGGAATTTGCTGGGGCTCTTTGGCTGGCTCAGTTAACAGTGGACAGCTGTTTATAACAGGAACTGTGGAATTGCACGTCTCACTGAGATGGCAGGCAGACAAAGGAGGACTGCTAATGATCCAACTTGGAATTGGGCCAGGACAATGAAAATCAGCATCTCCTCCTCTTAATTCTTTCACAAAGCCCTGTGGGCCTTTTCAATAACCACCAGTGGTCAGAAGTCAGATGTTGGGTTTAGATCTCACCCAAAAGGCATCCTATGCCACTGGACAGCATGCTGTGGCATTGACGGGCTGAATGTGACTCAGAAGAGCTTCACACCACTGGATCTGATGTGATTCAGTGGAGCAGGGTTTCCTTGACATGTATCTGTAAGTGTGCTGATAAACAGACCTACATCTACTTTGCTTGAAAGAAAATTCATCAGAGTCTGGAGTTGAATCAAGGACTTTAATTGCTATTCGCAATTAGTCATGTCCCAACAAAGGAAAGGGTTTCTGAGTTTTGATCCATTTCTTTTTTTTTTTGGTGAAGCTGTTTCACTTGCATATGTGTTTGCATGCATGACATGTGCCTCCTGCACTAAACCCACTTCTCCATTCCAACTCAGTGCAGGAACTTTCAAAGACAAGGGGTTGCTTACTTGGCCTAAGGGAAAAGACAGGAGAGGGAGCAATTCTGCTTTACAACACATTATCAAGTGAAAATGAAAATCCACTTGCGGGGCGGTGGCAGCAGTGGTGGTGGCGAAATGCAAGTGAGGGCTGAGTGCCTGTTGAAGTGCCATGGTGGGAAGGGAGTAGCCCGTGCAGCTGTTGCTTTACCTGAAAAAGTGCAATGGGAGAGAGCTGATGCTCATTATTGGCTTGTACTTGCACTACAGAAACTTGGAAGGCAATTTCAAAGAAAATGCCTAGGAACAAGCTTCAGCCTGTTACCAGGCTTGATAAAGCACCCCAGTTCTGCTTAAGGCGTTTTAGAGGAAAATAATTTACTTGGTCTAAAGCTTGAGTGCTTCTGGTGAATTATGAAGGCTAGTTACCAGCCATATGTTCAAAGAACTTGAATTTTTTTTCATTATAAAAATTATACATCTTGATACAAAGAGAAAAAAAACCAAACAGAGCAGGCAAATGAAATCAAAAGTCAATCTCCTCTTTCCACCTCACTCTCCATTCCACGCCCAGTGGACTCACTATCAACATTTTCCTGATGGATATGTTCCTAGACATTTTTGAAGCATGCACAAATTTGTCCTTTTAAAATACAAATAGAATTATACTGTCCATAACTGTTCTGTGACTTGCTTTTTTCATTTAATTGAATCCTGCTTATCATTCCATACCAATTCAGATTTACGTCATTCTTTTTGAAAGTGGTAATTCCATTGTTATGTTTATGCCATAATTTATTTAAACATTCTTTGTTGGGCTTTTCCAGGTTTTCACTATTATAAATAATGTTGTAAGCCTTTTGTAAGTATTTTTGTATATTCATGCAAGATTACTTGCAGAATGGCTTTCTGGAAGCAGAATTGCTGGATTAAAGGGTATGGATACTTAACATTTTCATAGATAATGCAAATTGTGTTCTAAAAATCAGAATGGTTACATTTTTACCAACAGTGCATTAGAATGCCTGTTTTCCCACATCCTCATCATGGATGTGAAGAAGTAAAAAAAATTTCCTAATCTGAGAGATGAGTTTAATTTGCATTTATCTTATGATTGGATCATATGCTTATAGAACACATTTTTCTGTGAACTTTTTGTTCATACATTTTGTCCATGTTTCCACTGGATTTTTTTCCTTACAAGTTTGTAAGAGCTCATTGTATTGAAGTTAGTTCTGTATTATAGATGTCGAAAATAATTTCCCTTCATTTGCTTGTTTCTTGAATTGCTATGGTGCTTTATGCCTTACAGAGATATAAAATATTTATGCAGTAGATTTATTAGTGTTTTTCCTTTATGGCTTCTGGGTTTCCTGTCATGCTTAGAAAGAACTTCCTCAATCTGTGCTTTGAAAAAGTTTTAGTATTCCTCTAATTCTTGTATGGTTTCATTAAAAAAAAAATCACAAACTATTTGACATATACAAAAGAACAAAATAATCTATACAGTTATAGAGGACAATAGTAAAATGAACACCAGTAAACTCAACCTAAGAGTGTTTTAGTGGCTTCATTTTTTATACTTAAATATATCCATCTTTAATTTTGGGGGTAGGGGTTGAACAATAATAGGAATCTAGTAGAATTTTTTCTTTTCCTGCATCACTCTTGTTTTCCTACGTAGCTATCTGGTTGTCCCAACATTGTTAAATAATCCCTCTTTTTTCCTGACTTTTAAAAAATAACGGTATTACGTCTCTGATGTGACCTCTATATACAACATAAAATCACTTCTACCTGTAGTAAGAGACATAAAGTAACAAAAGTCCTTGATGTTTTCAGATTCAATAACCAAAGTAATCCTCTTTATCTAAAGCTTGCTGGAAAATAAACTTTTTAATATTTAATAGAGGGAAAAAACACCCACTAGAATATTTGACTTCTTTCACCTTGAGTAAGTTACTTAACTTCTCCAAGCTCCAGTTTTTTTACTTTTAAAGTGGAGATGATAATAATACACTTCATAGGCCATTGTCACAACTAAGTGGGCTAAGGAATGCAACATGCTTTGGGGTGCTTGGGACATAATAAGCTTTCAATCAATGGTTTAATAGTTCTTACTACGATGTATTGTTATTACATTATCAGCCTCTCGATTCTTGGAGGGAAGGCTGTACTCTCTAGCTTCACGGCTGGACCACAATTCTTGCATGTGATTGTTAAACAGGTCTAGTTTGCTAATTTTGTGGCCTGATACCATAACACAATGCTTTATAATGAAGTAGAATTTTGAGACTTCTAAAACTACATTTTTATAAATAAATGGAAGCGGTGCCAATCCCAAATACTATAGCAAGGGTGGTTTCTTGACCTTTAGAGCCTCTCTCCTTTTCGCTGAATGGCTGTGCAAAATCCATAGGCATCCTTTTGAAACTGTTGTCCATTTGCCCACCACAGAGCTGAACCTTTATTAGAGATAGTGCTCCTGTAAATGTAGAGTTGGATGGAAACTGAAGTCATCTAATACATTTTACTCCTCATTATTTCCAAACTGATGTCAAACAGTTCCACCCACATCTAGGATGTCCAGTGCAGTTTATTGAATTTATTATGTTGGAAAATTCAGTTCTCACATTATTAGATATATTAGGAGGTATTAACTAGTTTTCCCATTTCTAGCTGAAGGAATTGCAGCGAGAAGGTTCTTCTTGCTTTCAGTTACTTAATATGTAATGGTAAAGACCCATTTGTTTTAAGGTATCAGTCCAATATCTACTAGTCCAAATTATTCTTAAAAGAAACTGTTGGATGTAGAAATTATAATCTGAATAGATATTCCAAAGAGAAAATTATCACTTTATTTGAAATAGATGAGTGAATTATTTTTTCCTATGTTCAATCCCTTAATTATTCTATTATATACAGATCTGAACTCCTTCAGGAAGACTGTACGGTATAAGGACATCAATAAGCATTTACAGTGTATTAAGAAACCAACAATAGGTTGATGATTCACCCTGGATTCATGCCAGGGTCTGTGAAAGAACCCAATAAACATGATATGCATTTCAAAAACTGCTAATCATAATTTAAAATTCCCAAACCCCTCAACTCTATCAATTACATTAAATAGAATATGAGCATTTGGCCTGCCCCTCATGCCCCTTATAGATCGCAAGACCCTGTGATTGTCAGCCTTTTCGGGAACTGGGGCAGAAAATTATGTTTCTCAAAGCAAAAGCTGATATTGGGTTTTTTCTTTTAGAGTTTTTTTTTTTTTTTTTCAAATTTAACGGCATAGAGTTGTGTATACCGTTCTCTTGCTCAAATCCCTGTGTCTGTGCATATAGTCCCTTCTTTATTCCTTGATGAGACTTCAGGCTTTTCATCTTAATTATTCTTTTCAAATAAAGAGCGTGATCTACCAATTTCGTTTTTCTTTCTCTTAATCTTTTGCCGAGGACTTCTTTTGAAAACGTTACTGCTCATCAGAATTTCGAAAGAGTCTTTAAGCGAATCGTGCCAGCCCACTCCGTGTGCCCCCAGGGATATGAATCCGCCCCTTAAGTGGCTGAAAAGGCAAATTGCAACCCCGGTAATAAGACCCACGGGACTCCGGCCAAGGCGGCCCTTTGGACCTGCCGGCTGCGCGCCGCGGCCGCCGCCCCGCATAAAGACGCGCCCCCAGCGGGCAGCCAGTCCCAGCGGCCACCGCCGCTCGGAGCGCGCGCTGGGGCCCGGGCCGCGGCGTCGGCTGGCTCGGCCGCTCCCCTCCGCTCCCTCTGCTCATTTTATTAGAAAGGAAAAAAGAGCGAGAGGGCGAGAAGTCCCGCCCCCTCCGCCCCCCAGTGGCTCGGCCTCCGCGCGCGTCACGCCGGGCCAGGCCAATAGCGAGGCGCGATACTGCGAGGTGGGCCGGGCCCGAACGCGGAGTGGGCGGTGGGTCGGTGCAGCAGCCCCGCCGCTCCTCGGCCACCATCGCGGAGGCGCCGCTGCTCCCACAGACGCTCGCGAGCCGTCCCTCGCGCTCCCAACCTCTTCCTCCCGTAGCCCGAGACGCTCGCCCGGCTGGGGTGTCGCCCCCTCCTCCGCCTGCCCCGTGCTCTCCCTTCGCTCGTCTTCCACACTATCTCATTTTCTCTCCTAGTTGAAGAAAAAAAAATCACCATCCTCCCAGGGAGCCACTCGCCCTCAGAAAAACAAAACCAGACATGATCCTGGGCTCCCGCTCCTGAAGGACTGGCCGCGCGAGGAGTGGGGGGCCTGGTGGAGACCGCACCACAGGTCACGGGAGGGAAGCCCCTGCAGCCCCGGCCCTGTCCGGCGGCCGGCGCCTCCTCGGCCCAAGCCCGGCGGCCCCTGCCCCGCGGGCCTCTCGCCCCGTCCCCCCACTTTCCCGGGAGCCGGCCGAACACACCTCCATTGATGGTGTAGCGCATCCGGGGAAGGTAAGTCGCCAACTTGCTCGCGCGTGGCGTCTGCTTGCCTTTCTGGCCCCTGGTCCTGGACACGGGGCGTGGGGTGGGCAGAGGGGGTCGGCGTGGACTCCCCCGAGCGGGGTGAGCCAGGAAGAGCCCCGTGTGGGAGCCGCGCACGTCCGGCGGACGCCGATAAAGGGCCAGGACTTCTTTTCGGTTCGGGCCAGATACCTGTCCCACTCCCCTGCCGCCCCCTGTTCTTTGCTGCTTATTCATGGTCTTGTTTGACTCGTCTGAGGTTAAACTGTTTCATGAGACTAAATTATTGGCTGAGCTGGGGGGAGGAAAGGAAGTCGAGGACTGAAACCAAAATCTCTTGATGTTTGTGGATTTGGGGGTATTGGGGGAGGACTTAAAGTATCATTTTTGCATTAGAAGATTCCCTCTTTGTGTTCTAAATCTCTAGTCCTCTGCTCTGCATGACTCCTAAATTATGAAACCCAAAAACACTTGGAGCAGGATGGTTCTTACTATCATGTTTTAGTTCTGCTGTCTGAAGGAGAGTGGCTTCTATTTTTTTTTAAGGTTATGGAAAGAAGAGAAGTAGTTTTTCATAGGGTGTGTGTTTGTGTATGTGTGTATTGGGAGGAGGAAAGTACTGCAGGTTTTCCTTTGAAACTGGTTGCTTGAGAAGTTGTTGAAAGGACAACAAAATGATTCATTGTTGAATTGTCATTTTCTTCTGCCTCTTTTCTAAGGTTTGCTTATAATTTTTTTGGGTTACAGACTTCAAACATTGATTTAAGCAAAATGTCCTTGAGAAACTGGGTGCTTAAATGTTTGAGTATGTGTTTCTATTTTAAGGTACGTTTAGAAAGTAGTTTTGTGTGAATCCTGAAATAGCTTTCCCCAAAGCAATTTTTTAAACACAAAAAAAGATAACTAGTAAAAGGGAAACTTGGTGAATTACAAAATAAACATTTTAATGTGACACAAATTAAGGCGTCCTATGTTTAGATTTGGGACAGTTCTGGTAATTGCTTTCCATTTAAAGAGAGACCTTTTTGTCTGGTGTACACTGGTTTCTTTAGTCTCAGTCTGTTGGGGGAGGGGAGGGAGGATGGATCTATACAATAATAAAATCATCTTTGAGTAGCTATTTCCTTCTATGGAGTTGCGTGCTGAGTTAATTCTACCGTAAATTATAAACCAGTTTTGATTTAGGTGGTCTGGGCTGGTTGGAAAGCTGGCTTCCAGCTCTCCCCGTTGTTGAGGTCGAAGGGAAAAGAGGCAGAGGCAGGCGCGGGCGCGCACACACACACACACACACACACACATACACACACACACACACACACATACACACACACACAATACCAGGCTGAGGGCTCATTGTTCTTCCATACACACATTCATCCTCTCTCTCCCATATTTGGGACTAGGTTTGCACAGACAAACACAGCTCTTTTTGGGAGAGAGGAGAGAGAACATGGGGGAAGGGTGGGTGCTTTTCCCTTTCAGCTTTCTTTCACCCATCTCATGTCTGGCGGTTTTTTGCAACCTTGTAAGAGGCAGCAGAGTGCAGTGGAAACTAAAGGACACTCAAAAACATGTTCAGAGGTCCTCTAACACACACACATACACACACACACAATACCAGGCTGAGGGCTCATTGTTCTTCCATACACACATTCATCCTCTCTCTCCCATATTTGGGACTAGGTTTGCACAGACAAACACAGCTCTTTTTGGGAGAGAGGAGAGAGAACATGGGGGAAGGGTGGGTGCTTTTCCCTTTCAGCTTTCTTTCACCCATCTCATGTCTGGCGGTTTTTTGCAACCTTGTAAGAGGCAGCAGAGTGCAGTGGAAACTAAAGGACACTCAAAAACATGTTCAGAGGTCCTCTTCTACACCTCCCTTTCATCCCTTTGCAGTCCTAGTTTCTGCTGGTTTCTTTTTTTGTGTATGTAAAGATAAAGACCCTCTTTATATATCGTGGCCTTATAGTCAGCTTTCGCATTCCTCATTGCCCCTGACTTTGTTGGGGACCTTGATTTGTTCAGTTGACTCTTATTGTAGTGAATAGACCAGAGTCTTTTCTAGGCAGAAGTAGATTGTATTACTTAAGATTATAAAGATTGTATATGAGGTTAATATTTAACAGAGTGTGTGTGTTTTGACATGTTAGTGCTTGATGGTTTGATCGGTGTGCTGGCTATTGAGCTGTCAGTGTTTTTTTGTTGTGTTTTGTTTTGTAAATAGGGTTATAAGGAAAGCTCTGTGTTCTTTTTTTGGGGCTAGGGAAGAGGATTTCTTGCGCACTGGACAGGGAATAGGTTGAGAGAGTGCACCTGGGTTAAACCTTGCTTTGGACTAAGGATGGAGGTGTGAATACTATGGGTTGCAGAATAGCACCTTCTACTGGTTAATTTCTTTGAAGGATCCAGTGGAAGAGGATGGGGGAGGGGATTAACGGTTGAGACCTAATGATTTTCTTTTGAATGCAGTTGTAGTGCTTCCCTGCAATTGCCACTTCCTCCAGCTACTAATACAGATGCCCTTTGACAGGTATGGTTGCATGGAGGCTTTTTACGTTATTATTGGTTGTGCCTTGACATTAATTTGTTCTGTTATCTGAGTATTTACACATTGTGACTTCCAAGGACTCTTTTGAATTGATAGTCTTTTATGAAGAATATGCTTTGTCTTGAAATATTAAATAAAACAAGGGGGTTTATTTGTGCTCTCAGTGTTGGAAACTTTGCATACACTAGCAGTCTTTAAAAAGTTTTCAGTGTCATTAATAAGAAGTCAAATAGAGCTACCCTATAGAAAAGGAAAATCTAGCACTGGACCCAGAGGTTTTTCCTTTGATTTAATGGGGGTGGGGTGTGGTGGGGGAGTGGCAGGGTTGGAGAGGAGCCCACTAAAACCACCAGTTTTGCATATGTAATAATGTTGTTTTCAGTAATGTGTATTTCAATAGTGTTGTTTTCAATAGTCATTTAAACATAAATGAAATTAAGTCTGATAGGATGACTTGTTCTATGGATTAGATGTTAAAAAAAAGAAAATGTGAAAAGAGTTTGTGCACAGAAGGCCAAATTTTCGCTCAAAGCCTTCTACACCAAGGTGTAGTTTCACAGATAATCTGCTTGATAAATAGCTTGAAGATTTTTATTATCACACGTCCTACCCCATCTCAACTGTGTTAATGAAATGAACTGTGTTAGAGAGGTTTGCTGTGTGTGGCAAGGGAGAATTTACTAAACATCTTCTGTTTTAGAGGGCTACTCTTAGGAATGTAATTTCTGATTCACTTTGTTTTTCTTTAAAGTTGTTTATCTTTTACAATAAAATGTGAACAGTTCAAATGCATTATTTATTCAGTAGGAATAGAGACAGGTAATTTCAGTTCAATATATTCCCTGCCAATGTTTCATCGCAAGGTAACTAGAGTAACTGAGAACCAAGTCACAACAGAAAGGTAATCCAAATCAAGAAATAAATGCAACAGTTACTTTTTCAAGTTTGACTTACTGGTCAAAATGATTTTAAAAAGTGGGACAATAATCACTGTCAGGTCCTGCAGAAATTACATGTAATACTAAACAGAAATGTGCCAGGTGCTGTAAACACATACATATGGGGAATATAATATGACCTGTGTCCTAAAAACCGGTATATGTTGAATACTATAATGGATTTAGTAAGCACCTATTACTTTTAAAATTAGTTTTGAATATTTAACATATTGTTCAAATCCCAGTAACCAAAACAACATTTGAGTAGTAAAATAAGTTGTATATACAAAGTTCTTTTGGGAATTGTGTGCTTTCCTACTAACTGCTTTTGGCAGCTTCTTTTGCAGTTGGTTTAAAGGTTAAGATAGCAGAAAATTCAGATGTTTAAGTGAGTCATTAATGTGACATAGCTGTGAACTTCATTGCACGCACACACACACACACACACACCCTGAAACAATACACTATTGTCTTAAATATCAGTTTCTGACAATGCTGTGCTATAGTTGATCATAGTGTTTTCAACAACCAGGAATTCCTCTTGAGTCATATTTAAGTGATTGTTAATTTTCAGTATCTTGGTAATTATTCCAGATTTGTAGCTTTGCTTATCCAATTTAAGTATGATTTGTGTGAGCCTGTTGGCTTATGCTTGGTTTCTTGTCTAAAATTCTGGTTTTTTACATAATGAGGAGAAATGAGCATTTACGTATTAGAAAAATGGTTAAGATTGCATAAGCAATTTTAATGAGCATTTGACCACAAATAACTCATGGTCAAATGCTAAATGTATTTCCTAGATTGGAGCTTTTGTTGGAATTGTGATTTGTATAGCTAATAGCTAACTTGTTAGTGTGTCAAAACAGGGTCAGGTATGATTGCTAATAAAAGAAGTTTTTGATAAAGTGACCTGTTTGTGCCAGTGTAAAATAGTTGTTTTTATTTGGTAAAATTTGCAGTATTTCAGTAACCATAAGCAATATATTTAATTGTGAGATACTTCCTTATATGGTTATGTTACAAAATGATATGACCTCTAATTCATATACCACTTGGTATATGAGGAATCCTCACAACCTATTTGTCTTGGGCTTTTGCATTAGAAGTTGAAGTCATGGGTCATGCCCTAATTTTAACTAGTTATACATGTGATTTGTAAGGATTTCTGTTAGGCTTATTTGGTTGCAAGGAACAAAAGTCGTCTAAGTCAGCTCATGTACTGGGGAAAAGTGAAACAGAATTATAAGCCTTGAGAGTCAGTCTTCACAGAAGAACAAGAACTCTAGTTCAGATGGCATGGGGGATGCGGGAATACTGTTAGGGATATGGCTCCCACCCGGCTGTAGTTACCAGATTACCTTGCTGCCTCCTCAGCAGGAAGAGGTTGTTGAGCCGTACCACAGTGCCATGGCTGTGTACGGTTGTTCAGCTATGTGTAGCATAGGACATCACGCTAAAGGGGACAGTATTTACATTGTGGGCCTGGACTAACCTGAAAGAGAGTT